TATTAAAGCCACACTGGTTTTGTGACACGTTTTTGTAGATTTACGGAGAATTGTCGATTATGGAAAAAATTATTATCACAATTATTTTGAAATCAGGATTATTCAAATTTATTATTATTTTTATTATTATTATTTTTTATTTATTTATTATTATTTTTATTATTACTATTTTTATATTTATTATTTTTATTTTTATTATTATTATTTTATTATTTTATTTTATTATTTTTTTATTATTTGTATTATTATTATTATTATTATTAATTAATATATAAATAGATTATTATCTATTTTATATTATTATTATTAAAAAAAACACTTTGTTATTGATAAATTACGCAAAATTTTCAAACTAAAAATAAATATAGACATAAATATGAACTTTAGAGCAGTTTTGCAATTGTGTATAAAACATAAAATGAATAAAATAAAATACTTTGAACATGAATAGAAAAACATAATTGTCGATCGTTTGACACACAAATTGAAATTGCGATCAGAATTCAATTAATTGCACAGACGTAGTTGTACTTAAAGTTAACGTGGCAAAGAAAAATTCACTTGATAAGAAGATGTACCAACACAACAGAGAGAACAACACAGGACCTCAGTCTGCTGTGTATCTCAAAGCTGCTAATCACAGAAACGAAAAGAAACAGTTCGAGATGGGAGTTAAAGAGTCTATTTTTGTTAAGAAAGATAATCCTTCTTAGAACAAAAACGAACGGCTCAGACTGTGGTTCGTCCGTTAGATTTATATCGGTGTATTCTCTCCGTTCTGTTCAGAAATTCTGTTCTGTAACTGGACAAAAGTTCATCCGCACTGCTTCTTCAGTTGTGGTCAGACGCTGGTGGACACTGACTTATATCTGCCTGAAGGAGGAGTCAACTACACTGAAACTACTCTGAAACTGCTCTGATATGGAGGGCTCAGACAACATCTCTCTCCTATTTACAACTCCATCCTCAGACTTAAAACTAAATCAAAGAAAACAATGGTGACAGTGTGTAAGCTCAGAGGTGTGACGCTCCCAACTACCGAGCTACAAACACAAACTGTAAACAAGGAAGTGAGTCAGTTTCAGAGAAGCCAAAAGACAAATTCAACTCTGTCAAGCTGGACAAAAGGTTTTTTGGTCTTTTTATATAATCAAAGATATTTCGTGGCTCATCCGCACTGCTTCTTCAGTTGTGGTCAGACGCTGGTGGACACTGACTTATATCTGTCTGAAGGAGGAGCTAATTACACTGAAACTACTCAAACTACACTGAAACTACACTGGAATTACACTGGAACAACTCAGGAACTATTCTAAAACTACTCTGGAACTACTCTAAAACAACACTGGAACTAATCTGAAACTACTCTGAACCTACTCCGAAACTAAGCTGAAACTACCCTGGAACTAGTTTTAAACTACACTGAAACTACAGTGAAAATACTCTAAAACTACACTGAAACGACTCTAAAACTTCTCTAAAACTACTCTGAAACTACACTGGAACTACACTGGAACTACTCTGGAACTACGCCGAAACCAAGCTGAAACTACTCTGGAACTATTCTGAAACTACACTAAAACTATACTGGAATACACTGAAACTACTGTGAAACTACTCTGGAACTACTCTGAAACTACTCTGAAACTACTCTGAACTACTCTGAACTACTCTGGAACTACTCTGAAACTACTCTGAAACTACTCTGAAAGTAACTCACCTTGTTTACCTTTGTGTTTGTTTCTCGGTCTGTTGAGGCTAGGCTAAGTTTGACTTTTAGGCGTTTTGACGATTTAATAAATGTTTAAAGTTCACGTTGTAAAAATACAGGAGAATCCCTACAACACCTGACCTTTGTGAAAGCTGGAGGTGCTGTCAGCCGAACACGGGCACTTTGAATTCAGTACATTGTGCTCTAAAGGAGAATTGTTTCTGGGCCGGAGCTCCTGGGAGCTGCAGAACCTGGAGCGGCCACTAGTCGATCTCACTCACGGACTATAGATCCACGGACCTTTACACCTCTGAGACTACAGACGATCACTATTGTTTCTTTGTTTTGATTTAGGTCTGGAGTTGTAAACAGGAGAGCGATGGTGCCATGAAATTCATTTTTAATTTTAATTGTAGAATCAGTCTGAGTGAAAAAGTTCCTTCTGTTTTATTCATCATAACATTACATGAGTTTAGTTCAGTGCGTCACAAATGTGTCGTTGTTTCCTTTAAGTTTTCGTCTTTCTTCCCTTGATAGAGCAAAACTACAGAGGGACACTTGAGCCGAAAAAGATCATTTCTGTGTAGTTTCAGTGTAGTTCCAGAGTAGTTCCAGTGTGTAGTTTCAGAGGAGTTCCAGTGTAGTTCCGGTGTAGTTTCAGAGGAGTTCGAGTGTACTTCCAGTGTAGTGTCAGAGCAGTTTCAGTGTAGCTTCAGAGGAGTTTCAGGGTAGTTTCAAAGTAATTCCAGAGTAGTTCCAGAGGAGTTCCAGTGTAGTTCCAGAGCAATTCCAAAGTAGTTTCAGTGTAGTTCCCGAGTTTCAGAGGAGTTTCAGTGTAGTTTCAGAGGAGTTTCAAGTGTAGTTTCAAAGTAATTCCAGAGTAGTTCCAGTGTAGTTCCAGTGTAGTTCAGTGTAGTAGTTTCAGTGTAGTTTCAGTGTAGTTTCAGTGTAGTTCTAGAGTAGTTTCAGTGTAGTTCCAGACTAGTTTCAGTGTACTTTCAGAGTAGTTCCAGTGTAGTTCGAGTGTAGTTCCAGAGTAGTTTCAATGTAGTTTCAGTGTAATTTTAGTGTAGTTACAGAGCAGTTCCAGAGTAGTTTCAGAGGTGTTTCAGTGTAGTTTCAGAGGTGTTTCAGAGTAGTTCAGTGTAGTTTCAGAGGTGTTTCAGAGTAGTTTCAGAGGTGTTTCAGTGTAGTTTCAGAGTAGTTTCAGAGTAGTTGGCTCCTCTTTCAGGCAGATATGAGTCAGTGTCCATCAGAGTCTGACCTGAACTGAAGAAGCAGCTCGGATGAACTTTAGTTACAGAATTTAATTTTCTTTTTCTCTGGATCGTGACGACGCAGAGATTTGACAGACACAAAGTGAACGTGTGAAGCTCGGTGAGAACAGAAGCTCGAGGGAATCGTTTCAAACTTTGCCTCATTTTTGTCTCGTGTTTAATCATCGCAGTAAACTGACTTTTATTAGACGCAGGATTTAATACAATTATAAAACAATCTGCAGAGAGAAAGACCGAGTCTGCCCCAGAGAACCAGCGCTGTTTAACCCTGATGCCCTCCCAGCCCCAGCGCTGTTTAACCCTGATGCCCTCCCAGCGCCAGCGCTGTTTAACCCTGATGCCCTCCCAGCCCCAGCGCTGTTTAACCCTGATGCCCTCCCAGCCCCAGCGCTGTTTAACCCTGATGCCCTCCCAGCCCCGCTGTTTAACCCTGATGCCCTCCCAGCGCCAGCGCTGTTTAACCCTGATGCCCTCCCATAGCCCCAGCGCTGTTTAACCCTGATGCCCTCCCAGCGCCAGCGCTGTTTAACCCTGATGCCCTCCCAGCGCCAACAAGACTCTGGGTCCTGACAGTAAGTCCTGGTTTAGTCCTGGTTTAGTCCTGGTTAGTCCTGGTTTAGTCCTGGTTTAGTTCTGGTTTAGTTCTGGTTTAGTTCTAGTTTAGTCCTGGTTTAGTCCTGGTTTAGTTCTAGTTTAGTCCTGGTTTAGTCCTGATCCAGTCCTGGTTTAGTTCTGGTTTAGTCCTAGTTTAGTCCTTGTTTAGTCCTGGTTCAGTCTTAGCCTAGTCCTAGTTCTTGTCTAGTCCTGAAATCAGTCCTGGTCTAGTCTTGGTTCCATCCTGTTTCAGTCTTGGTCCAGTCCTGTTCTTGTCCTGGTCCAGTCCTGGTCCAGTCCTGGTCCAGTCCTGGTCCAGGATCACGTACGGTCTCGTAGCACACGGCTCCGGCGAAGTGTCTCACGATGAATCCTTCGTCGTCTCTCACGTTTCTGTGAATCGCCAACTTGGACTTTCTGGGAATCTGAAAAAAAAAAGAAATAAAGACACAGTTTAGACCTGGTTTAGTTCTAGTTTAGTCCTGGTCTTAGTCCCGGTTCAGTCCTGGTTCAGTCTTGTTCTAGTCTAGTTTTAGTCCTGGTTCGGTCCCGATTTAGTCCCGGTTTAGTCCCGGTTTAGTCCCGGTCTTAGTCTCTGGTCTTAGTCTCTGGTCTTAGTCTCTGGTTTAAGTCCTGTTTAGTCCTGGTTTTAGTCCTGGTTTAGTCCTGGTTTTAGTCCAGGTCTGTTCCAGGTCTGGTCCCGGTCTGGTCCAGTTTTAGTCCAGGTCTGGTCTGGTCCTGGTTTAGTCCTGGTTCAGTAATGGTCTGGTCCTGGTCTTAGTCTCTGGTGTAGTCCAGTTTTAGTCCTGTTTTAGTCTTGTTTTAGTCCTGGTTTAGGTCCTGGTTTAGTCCAGGCCTGGTCCACGTCTGGTCCAGTTTTAGTCCTGGTCTGGTCCAGGTCTGTTCCAGGTCTTAGTCCAGGTCTTAGTCCAGGTCTTAGTCCAGGTCTTAGTCCAGGTCTTAGTCCAGGTCTTAGTCCAGGTCTTAGTCCAGGTCTTAGTCCAGGTCTTAGTCCAGGTCGTGGTCTTAGTCCAGGTCGTGGTCTTAGTCCTGGTCGTGGTCTTAGTCCAGGTCAGGTCTTAGTCCAGGTCTTAGTCCAGGTCTTAGTCCAGGTCTTAGTCCAGGTCGTGGTCTTGGTCCAGGTCTTGGTCCAGGTCTTAGTCCCAGGTCTAGTCCAGGTCTTTAGTCCAGGGTCTTAGTGGTCGGGTCCAGGTCTGGTCCAGGTCTGGTCAGTCCTGGTCTTAGTCCAGGTCTTAGTCCAGGTCCAGGTCTCCGGTCTTGTCCAGGTCTAGGTCTTAGTCCAGGTCTTAGTCCAGGTCTTGGTCTTAGTCCAGGTCTTAGTCCAGGTCTTAGTCCAGGTCCAGGTCCGTGGTCTTTGGTCAGTCTGGTCTTAGTCGTCCAGGTCTTAGTCCAGGTCAGTGGTCTAGTGGTCTTAGGTCCAGGTCTTAGTCCCAGGTCTTAGTCCAGGTCTTAGTCCAGGTCTCTTGGTCCAGTCCTGGTCTTAGGTCTTAGTCCTGGTCTTAGTCCAGGTCCAGGTCTTGGTCTTGGTCCTTTGCTCACGCTGAGTCTGAAGTGGTCTTAGTCCAGGTCTTAGTCCAGGTCCAGGTCTTAGTCCAGGTCTTTGGCTCACGCTGAGTCCTGAAGTGGTCTTAGTCCAGGTCTTAGTCCAGGTCCAGGTCTTGGTCAGGTCCTTTGCTCACGCTGAGTCTGAAGTGGTCTTAGTCCTGGTCTTAGTCCTGGTCTTAGTCCTGGTCTTAGTCCGTCTAGTGGTCTTAGTCCAGGTCTTAGTCCAGTCCTCTTAGTCTGAGTCTGAAGTGGTCGTGGTCAGGTCCAGGTCTTGGTCTTGGTCCTTTGCTCACGCTGAGTCTGAAGTGGTCTTAGTCGTGGTCTTAGTCCAGGTCCAGGTCTTGGTCTTGGTCCTTTGCTCACGCTGAGTCTGAAGTGGTCTTAGTCCAGGTCCAGGTCTTAGTCCTGGTCTTAGTCCTGGTCTTAGTCCAGGTCCAGGTCTTAGTCCAGGTCTTGGTCCTTTGCTCACGCTGAGTCTGAAGTGGTCTTTGTGTTTGCTGTGGACTGCGTGGGTGAAGTGTTGGTCTGAAGGTTGTGGGAGTCGGTTTTCCTCGTCCAGAATGTCCAGGATCCCCACGAGTTTGGCCTCCACCAGGTCTGAGGAGACAAGAGAGTCAGATGCCCTCCCACGTCTGAGGAGACAAGAGAGTCAGATGCCCTCCCACGTCTGAGGAGACAAGAGAGTCAGATGCCCTCCCACGTCTGAGGAGACAAGAGAGTCAGATGCCCTCCCACGTCTGAGGAGACAAGAGAGTCAGATGCCCTCCCACGTCTGAGGAGACAAAGAGTCAGATGCCCTCCCACGTCTGAGGAGACAAGAGAGTCAGACAAAAGAGTCAGATGCCCTCCCACGTCTGAGGAGACAAGAGAGTCAGATGCCCTCCCACGTCTGAGGAGACAAGGATCTGTGCTCCTAAAGCCCAAACAGATCTGAACTTCTCCTCTCCTCCTCTCATCTCCTCCATCTGTCTTATCTCCTTTCCTCTCTTCCCTTGCTCTCCTCTTTTCCCTCGCTCTTCTCTCCTTCTCTCCTCTCCTCCTCTCGTCCCTTACTTTCCTCTCCTTCTCTCCTCCATGGCTCTCCTCCTCTCCCTTACGCTCAACTCCTCCTCTTCTCTTCTCTTCTCTCCTCCCTCTCTCTCCTCTCCTCCTCTTCTCTCCTCTCTCTCTCTCTCTCTCTCCTCTCCTCTCTCTCTCTCTCTCTCTCTCCTCTCTCTCCTCTCCTCTCCTCCTCTTCTCTCCTCTCCCTCCTCTCCTCCTCTCCTCTCTTCCTCTTCTCCTCCTTCTCTCTCTCTTTCTCTTTTTCTCTGGTCAAACTCTGATGTTTATTATTAAACGAGTTACGTTCAGGTCAGGGACAACTTCCTCTCCTCTCCTCCCTCTCTTCTCTCTCCTTTTTCTCTCCTCTCCTCTCCTCCTTCTCTCTCTTTCTCTCTCCTTTTTCTCTTCTCTCTCTTCCTGTGTGTCCTCTCTCTGTTTCTCACGTCTTTTTCTCCTCATGTTTTCCACTTTCTTTCTCCTCCTCTTTCCTTCTGAATCTCTTTTTCTTTTCCTCCATAATCCCTTTCTTTCTCAGTCTCTTCTCTGATTGGCCACTTGTGTCTCTGTCTCTCCTATGATTGGTCCATCGTGTTTCTCTCTCTTCTGATTGGTCTATTCTGTCTCTCTCTCTCCTCTGATTGGTCCTCTGATTGGTCTTGTGTCTGATTGGTCTTGTGTCTCTCCTCTGATTGGTTGGTTCTGTCTCTGTATCTGTCTCTCCTCTGATTGGTCCCTCGTGTCTTCCGTCTCTCCTCTGATTGGTCGGTTGTGTCCCTCTCTCTTTCCTCTGATTGGTCAGTCCTGTCCCGATCTCTCCTCTGATTGTCTCTCTCCTCTGATTGGTCTTTTGTGTCTTCGTCTCTCTCTCTCTGATCTGGATTGGTCTCTCTCTGATTCTCTCTGTCTCTGTCTCTCTTGTGTCTCTGTCTCTCCTCCGATTGGTCGGTCGTGTCCCTTTCTCTTTTCTGATTGGTCGTTCGTGTCTCCGTCTCTCCTCTGATTGGTCGACGCTTCAGTCACGTCTTTTTTCTCAGATTTTTCGTGGTTTTTCAGATTCTCCTCACACTCTGCTCGTCTCAAACACAAACACACATCCTCTCTCTTTTCTCTCTCTCTCTCTCTTTTTTCTCTTCTTCTTCTCCTCTTTCTCTCGCTCCTCTTTCACTCTCTCTTTCTTCTTTCTTTTCCACAGCTGTAGTTTTCACGTCTTTCTCCTCCCTCTCTTCCTCTTTTCTGACACAAACACTGTTCACATCCTCTCCTCTTTTCTTTCTCCCTCCCTCCTCCTCCTCCTCTCTCATCCCTCTCTCCTCTCTTTCTTTCTCTCTTTCTTTCTTTGGGAGTGAGACCTTGCTCTGCTCTTTTGTCGTCTGCACCTGTGTGGCTTTTGTGACAGACGCTTTCGTTTAGTTTGTCTTATTTATCTCTTTCCTTTTCACTCCATCTCTCTTTCTCTCTCTCTTTCTCTCTGACAGCTGTAGTTCTCTGTTCTTTCTCTCCTCTTTCTCATCCCCCTCTCCTTGTTCTTGTCTCTGTTGACAGCTGTTCTTTTCTCGTCTCGTCTCTCCTCTCCTCCTCCTCCTCACCTTTCCCTCGCTCCTTCTATGATAGCTGAAGTTTTCTCGTCTCTCTCTCTCTCCTCTCATCCTCCTCTCCTTTGTTTTTCTCGTGGACAGGTGAAGTTCTCTCTCTCCTCTTTCCTCTCCTCTCTCCTCGTGGACATCTGTCGTTCTCTCTCTCTCTCTTTCCTCTCCTCTTGTCTTTTTCCTCTCCTCTTTCTCTCCTCTTTCCTCTCCTCTCGTGGACATCTGTCGTTCTTTCCTCTCTCTCTCTTTCCTCTTTCTTTCTCTCCTCTTTCCTCCCGTGGACATCTGTCATTCTTTCCTCTCTCTCTCTCTTTCCTCTTTCTTTCTTTCCTCTCCTCTCGTGGACATCTGTCGTTCTCTGCTCCGTCGCTTCAGCGTTTCACACAAACGTCTGTTTTCTTGTTTATTCACAAATCACAGACTCAGCTCTGGTTCTCGGGCGGTCGATCGTCCACCTGCTCGTCTCCATGGAGACGCCGCTGCTCTGGAATGTTCCACAGTGTGACTTTAACTCTCTCTGTCTCTGCTGCGGTCGAGTTCTTTCACTCTGACTCTCCTCTACACCGTCCTGACCTTTTATTTCAATATTTGACTGAATGAAGATGAAGTTTAGTCAGAGCAGGTTTAACTGAAGCTCCGTCTCATAAATGTTTAGAAAACATCATGGACTTTGATTGACAGCTTGGTTTGTGGTTTGATTGACAGCTTTGACTGTGCTCCGCCCCCAGGAGGCGGGGTTTAACTCCCCTCTGCCCTTTTAAGAACATCCTCTGTGTCAACAGTGCAACGTTTACAGTCAACGACCTGTCTCCATGGAGACAAACACCTGACACTCCAGGTCAGGTCACAGGTGAGATCTGTGGAGAGGCGAGTCTGCTCACTCTGAGAGCAGACGTGAAGATAATGACGACAGTGACAGTGAATGTTTACTGTGTAAATATAAACTCAGAGTCTGAGTCTGTTTAATGAGTCACGTTAAATTACATCATCATTATTCTGCTCCGTTTCATGTTTAATACAGGTTGAATACAAACATAATACATGTTTAATAATACATGTATAATACATGTATTAAACATGTATTAAACATGTATTTTATATATATAATACATATATTGTTGTTTCTCACCGATACAGTCCTGGTTGTCGACGTAATGAACCTCGTTCACACCGAGTCCCTCCCTCTGATACAACTCCTGCTCCTGTAACACAACAACAACAACACACACACACGTTTAACACAACACAACACACAACAACACACGTTTAACACACACACCACAACAACACAACACACACACGTTTAACACAACAACACAACAACACACACGTTTAATACAACAACACAACACACACATTTAATACAACAACACGACAACACACGTTTTACACACACAACACAACAACACAACACCACACCACACACGTTTAACACAACAACACAACACACACGTTTAACACAACACACAACACAACACACACACACAACACACACACGTTTACACACAACACACACAACACAACAACACAACACACACGTTTAACACAACAACACAACACACACGTTTAACACAACAACACAACACACACGTTTACACACACACACAACACACACATTTAACACAACCAGGTTCAGTCCCGGTTCAGTCCTGGTTCAGTCCTGGTTCAGTCCAGGTTCAGTCCCGGTTCAGTCCCGGTTCAGGTTCAGTCCCGGTTCAGTCCTGGTTTTCGGTCTCACCTCTTTCAGGATCCTCTCGTTGAAGAACTGCTGGAGTTTCTCGTTGCAGTAGTTGATGCAGAACTGTTCAAAACTGTTGTGCTCAAAATATTCTGGGAAAAAAAACACAAGACGGACACAAAAACGAGTCAGAGTCTGTGACCAAAACTCAAAAGAAACAACGACAAACTGATCATGAATAAAACAGAAGGAACTTGTTCACTCAGACTGATTCTACAAATTCAAATTAAAAATGGATTTCATGATGTGGATATTTGCACAGACACAGAGGATTAGAGTTTGTGCAGTTTAAAATGTTCGACATCTCCAGGACCATAACGTTTGTTCAATAAACGATGGAAAGTAACATTACATTTACTCACGTTACTGTAATCGAGTACATTTATGAGTAATTTGTCATTTTTTTTAAGTCGTTTTTGAAATAGGTCATTTCACTTTTACTCGAGTACATTCTGACCCAAGTATTTTACTGTATTACACTGCTGGAACCCGCCTCGTTATTGAGTAAAATCAGAATGATAAAGTTTAAATGCAAAAAAACAAAAAAAACAAAAAAACAATCTGCCAGAAATGAAAGTAAATAGTGCAGGATTTTCACTCTGGAACGTTCCGTCGTCGTACAGAAGCGTCCGTCTGTCCTGGATCTGGACGATGCTGGAGCTGAGTCACAGATCGAGGTCGTCACGATGTGTAAGAAGAAGGTGAACTGAATAATTCTCAAGAGGAAAGTGAAGGAAACACTTGTGCTGGATTAGACTGGACGTTGGACTCCGTCAGGGCCGCCCCTGTCACCGCTTCTGTTCACTGTGTTTATGGACAGAGTTTCTGGGCTCAGTCAGGGGTCGGACAGGATCGTCTCTGCTGTTCACAGATGATGTTGTCCAGTTGTCTTCATCAGACCAGGACCTGCAGCTCTGTTGCGGTTTGAAGCGTCTGGGATGAAGATCGGCTCCTCCAAGTCCGAGGTCGTTGGTTCTCGACCGGAAAAATGTGTCTTGTCGTCTCCAGGTGGAGAGTCTCTGCCTCAAGTGGAGGAGTTCAAGTCTGTCGGGGTCTTGTTCACGAGTGAGGGGAGGACGGAGCGTGAGATTGACAGGTGGACAGGTGCAGCGTGGGCAGATTGACAGGTGGACAGGTGCAGCGTGGGCAGACTGACAGGTGGACAGGTGCAGCGTGGGCAGACTGACAGGTGGACAGGTGCAGCGTGGGCAGACTGACAGGTGGACAGGTGCAGCGTGGGCAGATTGACAGGTGGACAGGTGGCAGACAGGTGCAGATTGACAGGTGGACAGGTGCAGCGTGGGCAGTGATGTGGTCGCTGTATTGGTCATCACCTCTGGTCATGACCCGAAGGACCAGATCCACGACACAAGCGGCACAAATGAGTTTCCTCCGCAGTGCGTCCGGGCGTCTCCCTTAGAGACAGAGTGAGGAGCTCGGAGTAGAGCCGCTGCTCCTCCACGTGGAGAGGAGCGTCTGAGGGGAGGACGTCTGTTCTGGAGGTGTTCATGTCCCACCAGGAGGAGGCCCTGGGGAAGACCAGGACACACTGGAGGGACTCTGTCTCTGGACTGGACTGGGAACACCTCAGGTCCCCCGGAGGAGCTGGAGGAAGTGTCTGGGGTGAAGGAAGTCTGGGAGTCCCTGTTTAAACTGATGCCCCTGAGACCCGACCCCAGAGAAGAGGATGACAATGGATGAAAGGATGGATTATATTTATGACTCATCCTTTTCACATCAAATAATTGAAAGTAAATAAATAACGTTTAATTGGTTAATTAATTAATCGTTGCATTTAGACTTCGTCTTTCAAGATCCCAAAGTGTTTAAAGTGTTTTACACTTCATTATTCAGTCACTCCACACTCAGTGTGTAAACTACTACTGCAGCCACAGCTGCCCTGGGACAGACTGATGTAAGGAGGCTGCCAATCTGCACCATCTGCCCCTCTGCCCACACACACACACACACACACACAACACACACACACACACACACACACACACACACACACACACACACACACACACACACACAACACACACACACAACACACAGACACACACATACACACACACACACACACACACACACTTTCATACTACGCAATGTGGGTGAAGTGTCTTGCCTAAGGACACAACGACAGTTTTTTACCACTGACTCCTCACTTACTCAGATTACATTTTAAATGCAGAACTTCTTTACTTTTACTCGAGTAGATTTTTAGATGGTTACTTTACTTTTACTCGAGTAGGAATGAAGCAAAGTAAAGATACTTTTACTTAATTACAACTTTTCAGTACTTTTTCTGTCAGTTTAGTCACATTTTCTTGGCATTTTTGTCGTTCTTTAAGCAACTTTTTTGTATTTTACTCAAACAAAAGACGGATTATGTTTCTTTACTGTAAAAAAATAGAGACACTGGGACATTTCTTTAATAAAACTGGGACAAATCACTGGTTTTGTATAAATCTGCAGGACACAGGCTCAAAACTGGTTCTGTAAACGGGTAAAAATGAACGTTTGATCACTTTAATCCAGTGGTGCTCAATACGTCGATCTCGATCTACCGGTCGATCTCCAAGGTCGTGTGGGTAGATCGTCGTGTCTCGTCTCGGACTCGCGTTTGGACTCGGTCTTGTCTCTCACTCGAGGTCTGATCATATTTCATTCCGGCCGCTGCTGTTGGTAATAAACTTGTAGCGGGTGCAGGAGCGTGTGGGGCGTCTCAGTTCGGCCTGTGCGCTCATTTGAAACCCGCGGAGACTCTACGGCGCATCACAAACACACACGCTCCCTATGCACGGCTCGTCTGCGACAGCGTGTGCCCTCGTGTACCAGCGTGCATCACAGGGCAGGTTCAACTTCCTAAACATCCTACCTGTCCATCTGCCTCACGTCAGCACGCCGCCCCTCGCCTTTTCACGCTCTCGCTCCTTCCTGCGTACAGCCAACACAAGCCCCTCCCACAGTGCGGCTGATTAGAAGAACAAGACCAAACGTGAAGCAAAAACCAGTCTAAATTTGTGTTCCAGTGTTGGCACAAAGCAGGTCTACAGCATAGAGCGGATCTACAGAACAGACCTACTGCCACATTTGGCTGAAGTTTGTCTAACAAAAGTGACAAATGCATCTGTGTTTGTCACGATGTGCGTTTGGTTTGGTAAACGTGCAGAGGCTGGTAAATATCACTGCAAAACCAGAAAAGAATGAAACTCCAGTTTGGAACTTTAAAAAACAGGTTTAAAAATCTTCCTTCACTTTTTTCACAGTTTTGTGTAAAGTGTCAGAGGAAGTTCTCTTAAAGAAGAGGTTCTCAAACTGTGGGGGAGGGTCCAGGAAAAAGGGCACAGAGTGTTTCAGTGCAGTTTGTTTGACTTTGTATCAGGTCGATCATTTTGACTTGGTCATTTTGTAAGTAGATCACATGATGAAAAAGTGTGAGCACCGCTGCTTTAAACTAACCCACAGTGACCCTGCGCCGGACACTACGTCTCCAGGAGCACTGTGGAATATTTTAAAGCACTTCTTGTCTCTCTAAAACATCACAGTCCCTAAACAGCGCCCCCTGCAGGGAGACACGTGCAGGCAGACGACCGTGAGTCATGTCCCGGTGTGAGCGCGGCTGCCGACACGTCCCCGTCACTCGTCGCTCGTCGCTCGTCGCTCGTCGCTCGCCGTGATCTCGGGGACGGAGCCGGGGAGACGGAGGTGATCGCTCAGGCTCCGGTTGCCGCGGAAACTGCAGCTCTGAGTCTGAACAGGTGGAAACTGTGATATCTGTGATTTTTTAATGATTTATTTTAAGGTTGTAAGTTGAGAAAGGTTCATGTTACACTCTGTTCTGATCCGTGATGTTCTCATGTCGTCTCCTCGTCACACACTGGACCTGGACCTGGACCTGGACCAGGACCTGGACCAGGACCTGACCTGGACCAGGACCTGGACCTGGACCTGGACCAGGACCTGGACCTGGACCTGGACCAGGACCTGGACCAGGACCTGGACCAGGACCTGGACCAGGACCTGGACCAGGACCTGGACCTGGACCAGGACCTGGACCAGGACCTGGACCTGGACCAGGACCTGGACCAGGACCTGTGTGTGTTTTTGTTTCGTTCACATGTTTAACTCACAAACTCTGCACGTTCAGGATCTCAGACTAAACAAAGGAGATTTTTTGGAGATTTCTTCCAGCGATGACGTGAACTGAAGCAGAAGAAGCGTCTAAATCTGTGTTTTATTTGTTCACTTGCTTTTTAAAATAAAACCAAAAATTAAAAAAAATTGAAAAAAAAACAACAATTTTCTTCATTATTTGTCTCCAAAACCAAAATGAAAAAAAACAAACAAAAAAAAAAAGATAATGATTTGTTTTTTTTTTAGTTTTTGATTTTGTGTTTAAATGAAAAATTGAAAAAAAAAAAAAAAAAAGGACTAAACCAGGACTAAACCAGGACTAAACCGGTCTCAGTTTTGATCTGGTCATGGTCTGGTCTCATTCTCAGCCCCGGTCTGGTCCTGGTCTCAGTCCAGGTCTCAGTCCAGGTCTCAGTCCAGGTCTCAGTCCTGCCCTGGTCTCAGTCTGGTCCCAGTCTCAGTCCGAGTGTGGTACTGGTCTCAGTCCTGATCTGGTCATGGTCTGGTCAGGATCTCAGTCCTGATCTCAGTCCCGGTCTCAGTCCCAGTCTTGTCCTGGTCTCAGTCCCGGTCTCAGTCCCCATCTTGTCCCGGTCTCAGTCCTGGTCTGGTCTCGGTCTCAGTCCCGGTCTCAGTCCTGGTCTCAGTCCTGGTCTGTCTCGGTCTCAGTCTCAGTCCCGGTCTCAGTCCCGGTCTCAGTCCCGGTCTCAGTCCCGGTCTCAGTCCTGGTCTCAGTCCCGGTCTCAGTCCCGGTCTCAGTCCCGGTCTCAGTCCTGGTCTGGTCTCGGTCTCAGTCCCTGCCTCAGTCCCGGTCCTAGTCTCAGTCTGGTACCGGTCTCAGTCCTGGTCTCGGTCATGGTCTGGTCATGATCTCAGTCCCGATCTTGTCCCGGTCTCAGTCCTCGGTCTCAGTCTCAGTCTCAGTCTCGGTCTCGGTCTCGGTCTCAGTCCAGGTCTTGGTCTCAGTCCTGATCACCCCACAGTCTACACTGGCACAAGTCCAGGACTGTCCTGACACTAAACACAGTCCTGGTTTAGTCCTGGTTTAGTCCTGGTTCAGTCCTGGTTCAGTCCTGGTTTAGTCCTGGTTTAGTCCTGGTTCAGTCCTGGTTCAGTCCTGTTTAGTCCTGTTTAGTCCTGGTTCAGTCCTGGTTCAGTCTGGTTCAGTCCTGGTTTAGTCCTGATTCAGTCCTGGTTCAGTCCTGGTTCAGTCCTGGTTTAGTCCTGATTCAGTCCTGGTTTAGTCCTGGTTCAGTCCTGATTCAGTCCTGGTTCAGTCCTGGTTTAGTCCTGGTTTAGTCCTGATTCAGTCCTGATTCAGTTCTGGTTCAGTCCTGGTTCAGTCCTGGTTCAGTTCTGGTTCAGTTCTGGTTTAGTCCTGATTCAGTCCTGGTTCAGTTCTGGTTTAGTCCTGGTTCAGTCCTGGTTCAGTTCTGGTTCAGTTCTGGTTTAGTCCTGATTCAGTCCTGGTTCAGTTCTGGTTTAGTCCTGTTTAGTCCTGGTTTAGTCCTTTAGTTTAGTCCTGGTTTAGTCCTGGTTTAGTCTGGTTTAGTCCTGTCAGTCTGGTTTAGTCCTGTTCAGTCCTGGTTCAGTCCTGGTTAGTCCTGGTTTAGTCCTGGTTTAGTCCTGGTTTAGTCCTGGTTCAGTTCTGGTTCAGTTCTGGTTTAGTCCTGATTCAGTCCTGGTTTAGTCCTGGTTTAGTCCTGGTTTAGTCCTGGTTCAGTCCTGGTTTAGTCCTGGTTTAGTCCTGATTCAGTCCTGGTTTAGTCCTGGTTTAGTCCTGGTTTAGTCCTGGTTTAGTCCTGGTTTAGTCCTGGTTTAGTCCTGGTTTAGTCCTCTTTTTTTCTTCCATTTTTCATTTAAACACAAATTAAAAACTGAAAAAAAAAATCATTATCTGTTTTTTTAATTTTGGTTTTGGAGACAAATAATGAAGAAAATCATTGTTTTTTTGTTTTTTCATTTTCTTATTTTTGTTTTTATTTTGAAAAACAAACACAGATTCTTTTCCTCCTGAACCTGTCGGTGTTTTTTCAGTTTTCCAGACTCTTCTCCGTCGTCGTCGTCGCTGTTGTGGGTTTCATATTTATATTTTTCATATTTATATTTTTCATATTTATATTTTTCATCTTCTCCGTGGCCTTTTCGTCGGGTGAAAGGCGCTCGCAGGAGGAGAAAGGTTGGATCCCCCTGAACGAGCTTTAATCTGTTCTCATTATTTTACTCTCAGAAAGTGTTAAAGACGTTGGCGCTGAAGCCTCCGTTCATTTAAGTTCACGTTTATTTTTAGTCGGACGCGGTAAACAAACTGAAGTGCTTCATTAAAGGTCCTGTACTGCACCAAAAACAAAAAAAAAAAAACAAAAAAAACACTCCTCTGAGCTCAAAAAAAGTTCCGCAGTAGAAACACAAACTAAAGACTCTCCTCTGAGACAAACTGCAAGCTTTAATTTTGAACAAAAATTATTTAATTAAAACTGAAACTGAAATAGGCACCGAGACTTTAAACCTTAAACTTTAAATTAAATATTGGAAATTGAGGTCAAAATCTGTTTGTTTTTTTTTTTTTTTTTTTTGACACTAAAACAGAAAAATGAAATAATAAACTGTTTTCTCATTTTATTGTTTTTCGTTCTGAACTGAAATTCAAAAGAACAAACCGTACACAGACCGTTTGTTTAGGAGTTTGATTTTGAACTAAAAGGTGAGACGGACTCACTGAAAAACTGCTACAGGTTTACACGCTTTTTCACTGACAACATTTCAAAACTTTTCCATGACTTTCCAGCACCAACATGTGTAGAACTGATCACAGCTTTAGACCAGACACGTCAAAGTGAGGCCCGGGGGCCAAATTTGGCCCATTATATAATTACATTTGTCCCACAAGATCAAATCAAATGGTCACACCCTTTAACCAGAAGGCCCACTAGTCAGAAAGTCCACTAGTCAGAAAGTCCACTAGTCAGAAGGTCCACTAGTCAGAAAGTCCACTAGTCAGAAAGTCCACTAGTCAGAAAGTCCACTAGTCAGAAAGTCCACTAGTCAGAAAGTCCACTAGTCAGAAAGCCCACTAGTCAGAAAGCCACTAGTCAGAAAGTCCACTAGTCAGAAAGTCCACTAGTCAGAAGGCCCACTAGTCAGAAGGCCCTAGTAGTCAGAAAGTCCACTAGTCAGAAGTCCCACTAGTCAGAAAGCCCACTAGTCAGAAAGTCCACTAGTCAGAAGGCCCTGTAGTCAGAAAGTCCACTAGTCAGAAGCCACTAGTCAAAGCCCACTAGTCAGAAAAGTCCACTAGTCAGAAAGGCCCACTAGTCAGAAAGCCCAACTAGTCAGAAAATCATTCCCTCTTCTCTTGGTTTGTCAGCAACATTTCTCTTGAACAGTTGAATGTTTATTTGATGAAATCAACAGGGAATAATCTCTGGAGATCAGGGAAGAATTAATAAACTTTTGGATGTTTACCAAATAAAAATGGCTGCAACATCAACATTTTTAGAGATATTGACAGGAAAAACACATAATCATGCATAACAGCATTAGCTAAGGCCAGAATTACTTAATTTATTGGTTTACAAACCCACCAATGTTATATTAAAAGAAAAAGATTTAAAATAAAATTGAAATGAAGGTTTGTAGAGCTCGAATTACTGAACAAGTTGTTGCCTGAAAATCAGACAATTATTAAAAACCCTGTTCCACTTAAGACGACATTTCCACCCAAATCATTATTTCCTCAAACATTTTTGCTGTATTTTAAGGGTTTAATATATTTATTACTTTTAATATTTACTTTTTAAAATATTTAAAACTTGAAATACAATTTCATTTGTAACAATTTTCTGACTCGAGGTTCTTCTGATGATGAGTCTGACCAAATCAAACATGTTTCAGAGCTGCAGACGCACACAGATCGACTCTGGACACATGATTTATTTAAAATGTTGTTATTATTTTATTTTCTGTTTGTTCTGGATTCAGTGTTGAAGTAAAACTATGATTAAATATTTATTTGAATAAGAAAAGGTTCAACATTACAGATCTTGAAAGAAGAGAAACACGCAGATGTTGTACTGTGAGTTTTTTCGTTTTTATTTGAAGGTCCATCACCTGTTTGTTTCTATGGCGACGTCTTTGCTCTGCCTGGAATGTTCCACAGTGTGACTTTAAACAGATCTACTTTACTTTTATTCAATTGCAGGTGGCTCAAAAATAGCTCAAAAAACAACATTCATCCACAGATCTGACCTGTAACTTGGTCTGGTTTGGTCTCCGTGACGATAGAAAGGTTTAAAGCCGCACTGTGGGACATTCCAGACAAAATAACTCAACCTCCACAGAGAAAAGCGTAAAAAATGGACCAAAAAGTGACACAGACTGAATTCCAGCTCTAAAGTCCGACAGAGCCGCAGACAGAGCAGTGCCTTCAGTTAGCGCTCAGTGTGTGTTGTGTGTGTTTTGTTCACTGACCGAAGCCGGCGATGTCCAAGACGCCGATGAAGTTGGCGGACGAGTCGAAGGGGAAGCACTGGTTCACTCTGGTCACGACGTGGTCGAACAGACGACTGTACACGGCTTTGGCCAGAGCGTCTCGAGCGCTGTTCGCCTGCTCCACCTTCAGAGGAACTCTGCACCGCAGAAGAAGAAGAAGGAGGAGGAGGAGGAGGAGGAGGAGGAGGAGAGGAGAAGGAAGAAGAAGAAGAGAGGAGGAAGAAGAAGAAGAAGAAGAAGAAGAAGAAGAAGAGGAGAGGAGGAGGAGGAGGAAGAAGAGGAGGAGGAGGAGGAGGAGGAGGAGGAGGAGGAAGGAGGAGAGAGGAGGAGGAAGAGGAGAGAGGAGAAGAAGAAGAAGAAGAAGAAGAAGAAGAAGAGAAGAAGAAGAAGAAGAAGAAGAAGAAGAAGAAGAAGAAGGAGAGGGAGAGGAGGAGGAGAAGAAGAAGAAGAAGAAGAAGAAGAAGAAGGAGAAGAAGAGAGAAGAAGAAGAAGAAGAAGAAGAAGAAGAAGAAGAAGAAGAAGAAGAAGAAGAAGAAGGAGGAGGAGGAGGAGAAGGAGGAGAAGAAGAAGAAGAAGGAGAAGAAGAAGAAGAAGAAGAAGGAGAAGAAGAAGGAGAAGAAGAAGAAGAAGAAGAAGGAGGAGAAGAAGGAGGAGGAGGAGAGGAGGAGGAGGAAGGAGGAGGAGAAGAAGGAAGAGAAGAAGAAGAAGAGAAGAAGGAAGAAGAAGAAGAAGAGAAGAAGAAGAAGAAGAAGGAGAAGGAGAGGAGGAGGAGAGAAGGAGGAAGAAGAGAAGAGAAGAAGAAGAGGAGAAGAAGAAGAGAAGAAGAGAAGAAGAAGAAGAAGAAGAAGAAGAAGGAGAAGGAGGAACAGGAGGAGAAGAAGGAAGAGAAGAAGAAAGAGAAGAGAAAGAAGAAGAAGAAGAAAGACCTGAGTGAGGACCTGAGGAGACCTGAGTTAGTCCTGGTTCAGTCCTGGTTCAGTCCTGGAGTCCTGGTTTAGTCCTGGTTTAGTCCTGGTTTAGTCCTGGTTTAGTCCTGGTTTAGTCCTGTTTAGTCCTGGTTTTAGTCCTGGTTTAGTCCTGGTTTAGTTTCCTGGTTTAGTCCTGTTTTAGTCCTGGTTTAGTCCTGGTTTAGTCCTGGTTTAGTCCTGGTTTAGTCCTGTTTAGTCCTGGTTTAGTCCTGTTAGAGTCCTGTTTAGACCTGGTTTAGTCCTGGTTTAGACCCAAGTTTAGTCCAGCTGTTGTCCTGGTTCCAGTCCTGGTTTAGTAGACCTGGTTTAGTCCTGGTTTAGTCCTGGTTTAAGTCCTGGTTTAGTCCTGGTTTAGTCCTGGTTTAGTCCTGGTTTCAGTCCTGGTTTAGTCCTGGTTTAGTCTGGTTTAGTCCTGGTTTAGTCCTGGTTTAGTCCTGGTTTAGTCCTGGTTCAGTCCTGGTTTCAGTCCTGGTTTAGTTCTGGTTTAGTTCTTTAGTTTAGTCCTGGTTTAGTCCTGGTTTAGTTCTGGTTTAGTCCTGGTTTAGTCCTGGTTTAGTCCTGGTTTAGTCCTGGTTTAGTCCTGGTTTAGTCCTGGTTTCATATTTTCACGTTTTGATCAGTTGAGGAGGCGACAGACGAGACTTGAGGTTTTGCGACAGATGGACCAGAGTCACAAATCTACAGGAACTAAACCAAGACTAAACCAGGACTGAACCAGGACTAAACCAGGACTGAACCAGGACTGAACCAGGACTTAAATAAAACCAGACTCTGATGTGTTTTCATGATTCGTCTGGAGTCGTTTTCTTAAATTACAACAGGAGAAGAAGAAAACGGCGCCAGGAATTAAAGTATTAAATCAAAAAACCCGAGGAGAGAAAATCCCACGACCGTAAATCAAACACCGACGGGTTTACAGACGGATTTATACTCAGATGCCCTCCCGTCCTCCCGCCCTCCCCCTCAAATCATCTCACAGCGACACAGAAAGACCAAGCAGCTTTTACTCGAGTAACGGTTCTGTTACACTGAACTCGAGTACAGTTACTTCAATAAAAATATTACTCAAGTAGAAATAGAAGTAAAAGTACACAGCGAGAAAAGTAAAAAGACAAACAAAAGTCCTGAATAAAACTATGAGACTCAACAAAATTATTACGGATCTCTTTAGTCCTGGTTTAGATCTGGTTTAGTCCTGGTTTAGTCCTGGTTTAGTCCTGGTTTAGACCTTAGTTTGAATCTTGGTTTAATCCTTGGTTTGGTTCTTGGTTTGGTTCTTGGTTTAGACCTAAATTTATACCTGGTTTAGAGCCATGTTAATCTGGTTAAGACCTTATATTGGTTTAGCCCTGTCTTAGTCCTCGCTTAGTCCTGGTTTAGTCCTACTTTAGTCCTGGTTCAGTCCAGGTTTAGTCCTGGTTTAGACCTGGTTTAGACCTGGTTTAGACCTGGTTTAGACCTGGTTTAGTCCTGGATTAGTCCTACTTTAGTCCTGGTTTAGACCTGGTTTAGACCTGGTTTAGACCTGGTTTTTAGACCTGGATTAGTCCTGGTTTAGTCCTGGTTTAGATCTTGTTTAGTCCTGGTTTAGACCTGGTTTAGTCCTGGTGTAGTCCTGGTTTAGTCCTGGTTTAGTCCTGGTTTAGTCCTGGTTTAGATCTTGTTCAGTCCTGGTTTAGTCCTGGTTTAGTCCTGGTTTAGTCCTGGTTTAGACCTGGTTTAGACCTGGTTTAGTCCTGGTTTAGACCTGGATTAGTCCTGGTTTAGTCCTGGTTTAGACCTGGATTTAGTCCTGGTTTAGTCCTGGTTTAGTCCTGGTTTAGTCCTGGTTTAGACCTGGTTTAGACCTGGTTTAGTCCTGGTTTAGACCTGGTTTAGACCTGGTTTAGTCCTGGTTTAGACCTGGTTTAGACCTGGTTTAGTCCTGGTTTAGTCCTGGTTTAGTCCTGGTTTACCTAGTCCTGGATTAGTCCTGTTTTAGTCCTGGTTTAGACCTGGATTAGTCCTGGTTTAGTCCTGGTTTAGTTAGACCTGGTTTAGTCCTGGTTTAGTCCTGGTTTAGACCTGGTTTAGTCCTGGTTTAGTCCTGGTTTAGTCCTGGTTTAGTCCTGGTTTAGACCTGGTTTCATATTTTCATGTTTTGATCAGTTGAGGAGGCGACAGACGAAACTCGCGGTTTTGCGACAGATGGACCAGAGTCACAAATCTACAGGGACTAAACCAGGACTGAACCAGGACTGAACCAGGACTGAAACCAGGACTAAACCAGGACTAACCAGACTCCAGGAAGACTCTACCAGGACTAAACCAGACTGACTAAACCAGGACTAAACCAGACTGAACCAGGACTAAAGAAGAACTAAAGAAGGACTGAACCAGGACTGAACCAGGACTAAAGTAGGACTAATCCAGGACTAAACCAGGTCTAAACCAGGACTAACCAGGACTAAACAGGACTAAACTGACTACATCAGTATCAGAGTTTACGTTTCGTGCGGATCTGAGGACTGAGCTAAAATCAAGTCTGTGGCCCCAAACCTGGACCAAACCCAGACTGAACCGGGTCCAGACCAGGACTGGCCCCGGCTCCTCTGCACTGATATGGATCTTGGAGGGATTTAAGCTTAATTATAAAATCGTTTAAATCGACTCGAGTTCAGAGAGTAAATCACCAAGTCCTAAAAGAGTCTGAAGAAAGTCTAAACCAGGACTAAACCAGGACTAAACCAGGTCTAAACCAGGACTAAACCAGGTCTAAACCAAGTCTAAACAGGACTAAACCAGGACTAAACCAGGAAACCAGGACTAACCAGGACCAGGACTAAACCAGGCAGGTCTAAACCAGGACTAAACCAGGACTAAACCAGGATAAACCCAGAACCAGACTAAACCAGGACTAAACCAGGACTAAACCAGGACTAAACCAGGACTAAACCAGGACTAAAAGGACTAACCAGGAGGTCTAAACCAGGACTAAACCAGGACTAAACCAAGGTCTAAACCAGGACTAAACCAGGACTCTTAAACCAGGACTAAACCAGGACCTAAACCAGGTCTCTAAACCAGGTCTAAACCAGGACTAAACCAGGTCTAAAAGGACTAAA